GTTCACTTCAGCAACCCGCCAATCCGCCATTTTGAAATTTGGGGTGCTGAATTTTGTATCAAAAAAAAACTTACACATCTCAGCTTTTATCTTGTTTGTTACTTCTTCGAATTTTCATTTTTGCTCATACAGGGTGGCCAATAACGCGAATTGTACTTTTTCAAGAATTTATTTGTTTCCAAAGATGATGCGATATTTTGAGGAATTAAGCCGTTCTATAGAAGACGTGCTAGTGACCGAAAAAATAGCCGTATAAACCTTATGTGTCTAGTATCAAAAAAAGTTTATGAAAAATTGAATCCAAATTTGCATAAATATACAGGGTGATGCATTTTAAATTTTTGAGATAAACTACAATTTGCGTTTTTGACCACCTTGTATGAGCAAAAATTAAAATTCGAAAAGGTGACAAATAAGATAAAAGCTGAGATGTGTAAGTTTTTTTCTTCTTTTGAATTGGTTTATCCAAATATGCAATAAAATCTGAGGCGTTCTATTTGAAAAATCACAACTTTGATATGTAGGTCGAAATTGGGACACCCTGTATGATGGCCAACATTTTAAAAATGTGCCCTAAAATGTCATGTAAAACATGCCATAAATAGATTTTTCCGAAATGTATTTGTTTATGAGTAATATTCCGTCCGCACATGGATGGGCCACCCTGTATATACCGGGTGGCCCAAGTTGTGATTTTTCAAATAGAATGCCTCCAATTTTAATGAACACACTATGGGGTTTTGGTAACCAGCTAGTGAGATAAGGTGTTTTGCCCAGAAAAACCTCTCACTTCGGCAACCCCTCAGTCTGCCATTTTGAGTGCTGAATTTTGTATCAAAAAGAACTTATACACCTCAGATTTTACGTACTTTACTTTTTTTTGCTCATACAGGGTGGTCAAAAACGCAAATTGTAGCTTTTCTCAAAAATTTCAAATGCATCACCCTGTATATTTGTGCAAATTTGAATTCAATCATTTATAAGCTTTTTTTGATACTAGTTACATAAGAGCTTTTACGGCTATTTTTTCAGTTATTAGCACGTCTTTTATGGAACGGCTTAATTCCTTAAAATATCGCATCATCCTTGGAAACAAATAAATTGTTGATTAGTTACAAACTGTCAAAATAAGCTTTGTGAGCATTATAATAAAAAGGTGTTTGAAAATATTTTTTTCTAAAGAAGAAATGGTGAATATGGTGTTCGCATTGGGCGAAGTCCAAAGAAATAGTTTCCTACGAGTAGCATCTCGCATTTATGAGCAACGGTACCCTAATATGCGACATCCAAGGACAGAAACATTTTCCACGCTACGATAACGTTTTGAATCAAGTGGAACAGTGGAATATAGTAAAACATGTGTATAATCCAAGTGTCACTAATGAGGCGAATCAGCTGGAGGTTCTATTAAAGTTGCAGGAAAATCCCCATTTAAGTGCACTGCAAATTGGAGCAGAAACTGGTATATCCAAAACTTCTGTCCAAAGGATTATTCGCAGGCATAGGTACCATCCATATCATCTATGCTGGCATCAAGGCCTTCGTCCTCAGGATTTCGCAGTTCGAATGGAGTTTAGTAGAATAATGCTAAATAAAGTGAGTGAAGACGCTACGTTCTTGGATAAGGTTCTTTTTAGTGATGGAAACTTTTAACAGCATAGGTGTTGTCAACAGGCATAACATGCACTATTATGCGACGGAGAACCCTTACTAAGTTAGGCAAATGAATTTCAAAAATAAATGGAGCTTGAATATTCGCCTTTGCTTTTGGAGGATGTCAACCTGCAAACTCGGATGCATATGTACGCACCTGCGCATTATTATAATCGTGTGTGTAATTATTTGGACACCTGGAGTGGTTGTGGTTAGATGTCAGGTTACACCAGCATCCGATTGTGTGGGCATGTGTATCTACTTTTATAGTTGCATATGTGCATTCGTTTCGGGCCCGATAAAGCCAACCAGCAGAAATACGTTTTGCTCGGCTTCCTATCATATTTTCTGCTTTAACCCACTTTCCTTTCCTTCTTTTTGCGTAATATGTCCATTATTTTTCTGTTTTTTGTTATTTATAAATATATCCAACAGAAAGAAAATGGGCAAAATCCACAAAAAGGAGGAAAGTGGATTCGAGGATACGAGTACATATTTCTGCTTGTTGGCTTCATCAGGCCCGAAATGAATGCACATCATATGCAACTACAAAAGTAGACAGGCAATTCCATGCATGGGCAGCCCATACATCCGGATACGGGTGTATTGAACGATCATCTTGACAACACGGCAATTTTCACTGTCCATGAGATGTTACGTTAATTTTATTTTAAACATCTTCAAATTACAAGTATCTATTTTATTAAATTCAAGAACTCCCTTCTGAAATATTGATTTGTGTAATTTTACTATTGAAATTTAGTAAATGGAAATCTGTGCTTCCTCTTGTGTAATAATTTTGGTAATGAGTAATGGTCTAAATGTTGTGGCAATAGTTGATATTTTACTTTAAATATAAAAATAAGAGCTAAATGATGATGTGGAATTTATTTATATTTCGTTGGTTTAATTATTTTTATTCAATATTATTCTCATAGTTTTATTTTGTAGAGCTTGAAATGTTGAGAATACAGCTTCATTGGCAGCGAACAAGATAGTTGAACAATATAGAAAATGCGGAGAATAATTGTATTATAAACAACTTTTTTGTTATATGTAGGGTGTTGCTTAATGATATGCGAATATTTAAGGGTATAAAACTACATGAAAAATTAATGTTAGTTTGCTTTATAAACTATGGTCCAAAAAGGTTTCCTTACAAAAACTCGGGGTGTTGTAGTTTTAGAAAAAGAATGGAAATTAATTAATATTTTCAGAACCGCTACAGATATTTCAGTGAGAGTACGTAGTGAGAGTTAATAAAGTTGCATATTATCCGGTACAAAAATAATTTTTAGCTTAAACAGTGGCGTGCGTAGAGGTATTAACTTCGATGTTTTTTAAGAAACAAATGGTACGCCAATGGTTTTTTGGCAAATGAAAATTATTTTTGAATTCCCCGTTCAATTTAAAATAAATGATCTCTCTTGAATTGTTTTTTTTTTGATGCGCCATTTTTTAGTTAAAAAAATAAAAACCGTTCTATGGTCCGAGAAAATTAATGTAATAATTGAAGAATGCAATTTAGCAATAAATATGTAATTGCTCTGGAATATGTTACTGGCTTTTGACATCTGATAGGCCTCTGTTATTCAAATCTGTTCGCTGTGACATCTTTTTGATTACTTAGTTTTTACAATCTTCTTAATAATGGTGAATTATGCAAATGCAGAAATGGCGGATATGCATTACGGTAATGGTGAGCGAGCCAGACGGATTTATCACCAGAGATATCCCGATCGTGCTTTGCCCAGATAGTCGAACCTTTTCTAATATTCATCGTCATCTTGTTGAAACTGGTTCTGTCTGAAAAGGAACATCTGAAGGTAGACCTCTAAGTGTGAGAATCCCTAAAATTGAGGAAGCAGTGCTGCACGAAGTCGAAGAACGTCCTGAAACGAGTACGAGGAAGATCGCTAGACACTCAAATATTTGCCATAAATTTTTTTGGAGAATTTTAATGGATTTTTTGTTATATCCTTGCCATACTTTAAGAGTACAGGCATTACTTTCCATTGATTTTCCAAGGCGTGTGACCTTTTGTCAGTGGTATCTTCAAAAAATTACACAAAATCCACAATTTGAATCAATGATTCTGTTCACGGACGAAGCTAATTTTTTTAGAAATGCCATTCAGAATTTCCACAATAATCATTTCACTTTATTGGCCCATTCTTCTTGCCGGATAGACTTACATCAATTTTCTTCAACAACAGTTGCCTTTGCTGCTTGACGATGTTCCGTTAGTAATAAGAAACAATATGTGGTACATGCATGATGGTGCACTAGCGCAGTTAAGAGTAGCGGTTCGTAATTATTTATAAACTGTTTATCCAAATCTTTGGATTGGCCGCGATGGGCCCCAAGTATGGCCTCCAAGGTCCCCAGACCTCAACAGCTCAGATTTCTCTTTGTGGAGCTATCTTAAGACACTAGAGTACACAAGTCTAATTAACACTGTAGAGGAATTAAGAGAAAGAATAGTTGCAGCTTGTGATAGAATAAAAAACACTCCAGGAATATGTCGAGTGCGCAATTCCATGAGAAGGAGGGCGGAAGCGTGCATTCTAAGTGAAGGGGGCCATTTCAACAATTTTTGTAATCATTTCCTTGGTTTTAATGTTCTGTTTATCTTGTCAGTTGTTGTTGCTCATTACCCCTAATGTGTTTAATTTTTCCAATTAAATTAATAATAATTTTGCAAGTTAGACAATAGAACGGTTTTTATTTTTTTATTCAAAAATGACGCATCGAAGGAAAGCAACTCAAGAGAGGTTATTTGTATTTTAAATTGGACGGGGAATTCAAAAATTGTTTCCGGCAAAAAACTATTGGCGTACCATCTCATAAATTATTTTTGCATTGAAAAATATGCAACTTTATTAACTTTCACTACGTACCGAATATCAGTGAAATATCTGAAGCGGTACTGAAAATATTACTGAATTTCAATTTTTTTCCTAAAACTGCAAGTTTTTGTAAGGAAACATTTTTGGAACATAGTTTATAAAGCAAACTAACAATAATTTTTCATGCAGGTATACACCCTTAAATATTCGCATATCATTAAGGAACATCCTGTATACTAAGACTATGAGAAACCCTATGAAACTAATTTGTTTTTTCGGCAATTTTTGAAATAGTGTATTCAAAGTAATTCTCAAGCAAGTCTCGCTCCTAATGCGATAAATGACGTAAATCTATCACTAATATTGTCAAATCGTCAGTGTCGGGACAATTTTGTGGTGTTTGGAGTGTAGGGTGCTCGGGTAGGAAATAAAAGGCAAACCCTCACAAAACTAGTAAATACGTTTATTTCAAGAGTAATTAAAATAATAAAAAGAATCCTAATCCAAAGTGGGATAGGAAGCTACCGTGGCAACACCACAAGTGTTTTCGTCATTTCTCTTTATCCTGAAGTATCCATTTTCTCCCCAATACTTTCCCCAGCTGTTCTTTAGGATCCAGTAATCTTCAGTATATCCAACCACAAGAGCAGCATGGTTCAAGTAGCGACGTTCGCTTTTGCAATGGGATTTGGTTATTACTCCGACATCGTAGCATTTCAGTTGACTCCCCACTCCCACAGAGATTGGTCCTATTAACGCTGTAGGAAAAAAATTATCATTCATAGTCAATATAAAGTGTTTTTGAAAAGTAAGCTAAAATACTCGATACTCAAGTAGTCAATTCTGTGTGCCTTAAGCATCGTAAATTTTTAGATGCAGGATGGTAAAGTCTTGGATCTGAGCTAAGTATGTCACGCTACTTCAGTCTCGCAACAAAGATTATCTTTATATTTCCCATTATCTTGGGATTTGACATCTGAGTTTTGCTTTAATCGATTTATGGTTTTCGTGTTAAAAATAAGGAACGTTTCTCTAGATGGGCCAATATAATATGAGTCCAGCCATTTGATGTTCAAAGAAGTGATTGCCTTACGACTTTTGACGAAGTTTTGGTTATACAGGGTGGGGCATAACTGTCTCCCTATTTTCAAAGCTTAATAAAACAAATGTTATTTCGAATACTATGGATTTATTTTGAAATCTTAAAAGTGCAACTCAAACAGTTTTATTTTATGTGGTTTTGAAAATAATATCGGCAAGGTGCTTTCCACCATTATCACAGCATTGCCGCAAGCGCTTTCTGAAGTTTTGCATAACTCTAACTAACATTGCTTGCGGTATTTGGCCAATTTCCAGACGGATTGCCTCCTTCAGCTGTGGTAAGGTCCTTGGACGATGTTGAAAGACTTGAGCCTTAAGATAGCCCCACAGAAAGAAATCGCAAGGCAACAAATCCTGGGAGCGCGGAGGCCAAGGAATATCGCCACTAAGGGAGATCAAGCGTCCGGGGAACAGTTCTCTCAAAATGCCTAATGATGCTCGGGATGTGTGGGCTGTCGCCACATCCTGCTGAAACCAGGCATTCTGCACATTGAATTCTGCAAGAGCTGGGACAAAAAAATTCTGAATCATCGCTACGTAGCGTTCCGAGTTGACGGTGACAGCCCGATTACCTTCTTCAAAAAAGTAAAGCCCAACTATCCCAGTTTCTGACACGGCGCACCAAACTGTGACTTTCTCACTATGCAGAGGCTTTTCGTGTATCTCTCTTGGGTTTTCGGCACACCAGAACCGAAAATTTTGTTTGTTCACGCAGCCAGACAAATAAAAATGTGCCTCGTCGCTAAAAAAAACCGCCTCCTGAGGTAACTTTGCAATCATGTCTTTACATGCAGCTAGTCGATTGTTCCAATCACGTGGTGATAATTCCTGTAAAATAACCATCTTGTATGGATGAAAATGTAGGTCTTGATGAAGAATTCTTCGTAAAGAGCGATTAGAGAGGCGAAGGGCGTCTGTATGTCTGCGTGCAGAGCGGTTGGGCCAGTGTTCCACTGAGCGTCTACCTCTCTATGTTTTCGGGCGTCCGAGCTGTTCGTGGACGTCCACCTCCTCTCCTGATAACAGTTCCAGTTGCTCTGAAATTTTTCACCCACAAAACAATTGATTTTCGGTCTGGCACTGGTCGGTTACGAGGAATTTCAAATTGCATACGGAACGCTCGTTGTGCAGCGATAACGGATCCATTTTCGTGCATGTACGCTTCCACGGCGAAAGCGCGCTGTGCGACGGTCCACATGCTGTTTCAAACTGAAACCTGTTCTAACCTGAAACTGTTCAACTTGCCGCTTGTACTGACGCTATCCCCACTTCCATTCGGTGCCGCCCGGTTGGGCCTTAGGGTAAAGACAAACAGAGCTGTTTTGACCGACGCGTTAATCGAATCGGCCGGTTTCTAGTAATCCACACTGAGCCGTTTCTTCAGCGGTTTATGCAGTGATCCATTCGATTTGCAGAATGGATGACGTATTGTATTTATCGCTACTGTATTTGTATTGGAAAATTAGTAAAAAAAAGGAATAGAAGAATGTGGATACATCCAATCATCGAAGAAAGGCAACGAAAAGGTCATTTTCATACATTGTTTGCTGAAGTACAAAGAGATGAAGAAAAGTTTTTCAACTTTACTAGGATGTCGCGAAGTACTTTTTACAAGTTATTAGCAGTTTGTGGAGAAAAACTAGCAAAGAAAGATACACGTATGAGAAATGCGATAACCCAGAAGAAAAACTAGTAATAACTATCCGGTAAGTAAATAAATTAGGTAACTGTTTCTCATTTTATTAAAAATGTATTCCACAATCTTTCATACATTATAAGAGTATATTTATTCAATTCATATTAAATATACTAAACTGGGAATCGTCTTCCGAAAAGTGGGAATAATAGCTTCTAACTGATTCAGCTGGTGAAGGAGCTGGAGGTAGTGTTGAGATTATCTGTTGTTAAGCGGCATTCTGAGATACTACATACTGCTCTTGTGGATGTTGTACAAGTCCTGACTGACTGGGATAATGGGTTATGGAAGACGTTTGCTGATGTGGAGGTGGTGGTGTATCTGATGTCTGATTTGCTTCGGTCCTGGTTGCATATTTCGAAATAGTCTGCATTATTTCAATCCTGCATTTTGTATTTAAATGACTTGGCAGTGCAATAAGTGAAGGTACTAAGGAAAGTGCAAAGTGGTAATTGTCATCTTCAGTCATCGTCTTGTTTGCTCTTTTTTTCGTAATTTTCAAGTGAATGTAATATTTTTTCTTCGACCGGGTGTGTCCTTTTTTTGTCAATTTTAGAATTATACTTTTTTTTATAGATTAAAGTGGGCGTTTCAGGGTTATTTGTATCTAATTCGGATGAATATTCATTATACAATGAACTGGTGGTTTGTCTGGGCAGTATTACATTTGTGAGAAATTGAAATTGTAACCTCTGTGTATAAACGTAAGGAGCTTTCCGATAAGCTCCAGCCCCTGACTTTCCTTTCCTTTGATGAATATCTCTTGAAAAGTTGTCTCGGATATTTTTCCACTTTTTATGCAATTCATTACCTGTAACAAAATAGAATTACGTACATTACGTTTTAATTAACTGCATTTTTTCATTTTAGATATTTGGCTACGGGCTTCTCTTTGGCCGAATTACATTATAATTTTCAGTAGGTAGGGTTTGTATGTTCTAGAACGCCCTTGAGAGTCGACCTTGGGAGCCAACCTTGAACGCATATTTAACCTCGAAATGTGACCTTGAAATGTAACCTTGAAACATGGCCTTGAAATATGACCTTGAAATGCAACCTTGAAATATAGCCTTGAAATGTGACCTTGAAATGTGACCCTGAAGTCGTGAGTGGTAGAAGGTATGACCTTGGAAATATGTGTTTAAATTAGTGCAGCGCTCGGAGAGGAGGCAGTTCAGTTGTTGCAAGCATTGCAATATCATGGTAAATATAGTGAAGAAAAGTCGGTGCTTAGTGTGTCAAACGGAGAAACGGTTGAAGTACTCTAAGGGGTGGCGCTGGGCGTGTGGGTGGTGCTGTTGCAGCATATTTCTGGTTTATTGTGGGACGTGTATGCAACATCGTCCCCATAAGATAGGCTGGATTTACGATACGAATGAGAAGGACGAGAAGTGTATCTTGTCTTTGTTAGACTCCCCATAAGATTTGGAAAACGTAGGAGTACGAGGAGGACTAGCCAGTGGGGTGATGTCAGGAGGGAATGGATTTCTAATTAAATGGAGTGAACTGCAAGATGGATATAGAGTGCGCTATCCATACGGATTGAGTTATGAAGGAAGTGTGAGAAATGCATATGTAGAATGGAGCGTGTGTCAAGAAAGCTATGCGAGGGGTGTAGAATGGAGCGAAGAACGTTGTCAGCAGTATTACTACACTGGTACGAGCATGATGGGCTCCATAGTATGTGAAAGGTGCATCATAGGAGCAAAGTATGCCCTATTTAGTATCTACGATGATGGATATGTTAATAAGATGCACATACATAGTAAGCACCTAGCAAAGTGCTTGTATTGTGAAAGAAGAATAGCATCGAGCAGTGTACGTCAGTGTGACAACAGTCCGTTGGGAGCGAAGCAGCTATATAGTTGCCGAAGAAGGAAGGTGTCGAAGTCATAGGGAAAAACAGGCGGTGTGATAAGGTAAGTGAAGATACTGAGTGTAGGGATGCAAATACAAGACAGGTAGTTTGAAAAATTTCAAAAATCAGTGAAAAAATAAAAAATATAGTGATAAATGTAAATTAAAGCAATTGGGGGTGACAACCCCTAGAAAGGGGTGAAAAAAAATTGTAAAAAAAAATCAAAGCACAGTTTGGTAGAAGTTTGAAATTGATCGGTAATCAAACAACGGAGATATTAAAGATTTTTGTAAAGGGGTCGCTGGAGAAGGGGGGAGGGTGAGGGTCTATGTCGAATCAAAAATTTGTTGGTGTCCGCGGACTTAGCACAGTTTGAATCAGTTTTGACAATTTTTTTTTTAAATAATAACAAAAAAGTATGGGAATGAAGACAAGGGACCTATTTGTTCTTATGAAGTTTTTGTGTAGGGAGGGTAGTAACGAAGATATAGGGGGTGAAGTACCCCTAACATGAAAGATAAAATTTCATAACAGTATGTAGTGAAATGGATTACAGGGATTATAAAGAGACATAAATGCTAATAACAAAACGTTGTAGTATCACCAGGAAAACAGATATAAGGGTGAATTACCCCTAACCTAGATGGTATAATTTCATAAAAGTATGTAGTGAAATGGAATGGAGTGGTAATATAGAGATGGAAATGCTAATAACAAATTCTTGTAATATCACCAGGGAAAAAGATATAGGGGTATTATACCCCTAACATTAACTAAGCCATTTCTGTAAAATACTTATAGAAATCGAGGGTATCAGTAATTGGAAGACATAAACAATAATACAACAAAAGCATAAAGTCATTAGAGACAATGATGTGGGTGTAAATGACGCGTTAAAGAAAATTTTAAAATTTCTAAAATAAGTTTATGAACATGAAATTAATGTAATAATAATAAGAATGCATAGATGTTGTAAACTCTTTTATTGGGTTTGGGTTTATGGTTTTACGGCTAACGAATAGATAGTTAATGGTTCTAGTGTTTTTATTTTTTATTTATATGTTTCACAGAAACCTTAAAGCCTACAACCTTACAAATAAAATCTTAGACATAATTCCTTAAAACTAA